GTTTCATACGTGCAACTATGAACTGTCAACTTTATTCATATTCAACATCTCCCTTCTCAAGATAGTTGCACGGAATTCATACTTTTCATTTGTTATTTACATTGTTTTAGATTGATGATCTTATTTACATGTTTGGAATACTAAAGTGTAAAATAAAAAGGTATAGAATTTGTAATATGTTTTGAATGAATACGATTCGATTGAAATGTGATAACATTTATGTGCAAAGCTTGTGTCGAAGAAGCTAGCGATTCCGATTCGGTTGCAATTGTTTTGTGATTTGTTCAGCTGCCTTCTTCGAACAGGCTCGTTGCGGTTGCCGCACTTGCGGCTCAGGTATGGGCATGGGAAAGCCATCGATCAGTGTGTTATCAGCCATAGTGACTGAATCATTTGAACTATTCGCTGTGTCGAACGACTCCTCTCCCCCACCAGATGCTTCATGCTCGTTTTCAGAGGTCTCTTCATCTTCGCTGGATGCTCCAGTTTGTTCATCATCTACGATATCAGTCGGCTCGACTTCATCGTTTTGCTCTAACGTTGCACTTGTTTCCGATGCACCATCATCATTCACTGCTCCGCGGATTTGATTTAAGTGACGTTTGATGTCACGATTTTCTCGTATGAGCAAACAAGTGTAATTGCGAGAACCGATCTTGTGCTTAACAATTGCTGGTGACCAACCAGGTTTATTTGGATTCTTGTAATTTCGGACATAAACTTGCTGTCCCTTTGAAAATTCGACGTTACGTTTGCCTTTGTAATTCTTTATTGCCGTTTGATTTTTTTGTATGATGGTTTCACGAATAAGCGGTGGTTTCATCAAACTAAATCGCGATTTCGCTTCTCTACCAAACATTATTTTCGAAGGTGATTGATTTGTCGTACAGTGTTTAGTGATGCGATAGTCGAATAAAAATTTGTTCAGTACTTCATCCATATCGATGTTCTTGTGCTTGTTAATATTCGCAACAATCGACTTTTTGAGCGTTTTGACAAAATTTTCAGCTTGGCCATTAGTGGACGGATTGCCCGGTGCTGTGAAAATGTGATTTATGCCATTTTGTTTGACGAACTCTTGAAATTCGGCAGAAGTGAATTGCCTTCCGTTATCGCTGACAATGATGTCAACTAAACCATAACGGCAGAATGTTTCCCTCAACTTGGCGATCACAAAAGCTGATGTGATGTCTTTCGTTTTAAACACTTCGACCCATTTAGAAAAAGAATCAATCACAATGAATAACATGAATCCCTTAATTGGACCTGCAAAATCGATATGAATTCTTTTCCAAGCAGAATCTGTTGGAGTCCATGGAATTAGTGAACTCTTCTCTGGATTTGGTTGTGTCAATTGACACGGTTCACATGACTTAATCATGAATTCAATGTCTTTATCGATATTCGGCCAATAGACGTATGAGCGCGCGAGTGACTTTGTTTTCACAATTCCCAAGTGAGACATGTGAAGAGCTTCCAAGACAGCTTTTTGTAATTTACTTGGAATTACCGTGCGATATCCCCAAAGAACACATCCACTTTCAACTGATAGCTCAAGTGCCTTTGATCGATATGCTTTAAAGTCATCGCCTTGCAAATTATTGAGTGTGCCATTCTGAACGGAATCCATTATTTTCGAAAGAATTGGATCACGGCGTGTATGCAACGCAATAGTTTTGTAATCAATTTGTGTGATGTTGACAAAACCGACATAATTTATGTATGAAGCCTCTTCATGGATTGTGGTGGTTTCGAATTGTCGCAAACGTGACAAGCTGTCAGACGTATTAAGTGCGCCTTTGACATACTCAATAGAGTAATTGAAACCTGAAAGAAGAAGAGCCCATCTCTGAATTCGAGCGGCTGCCATCACTGGAATACCTTTATTCTCTCCAAATATTGTGACTAATGGTTTATGGTCCGTTCGAAGAATAAATTTATTACCTAACAAATACTGACGCAATTTCGTCACACTAAAAATAATAGCAAGTGCTTCTTTTTCAAACGTACTATAATTTTTCTCGGCGTTATTTAATGCACGTGAGACAAATGCAACCGGTCTATCAGATCCATCTTCAAATATGTGAGATAAACGACCTGCGACGGCTGTGCCACATGCGTCTGTCGTAAGAATTATTGGCTTATTTGCATCAAAATGAGCTAAAATGGTATCTGAACAAATTTCCTTCTTCATCGATTCGAATGCTTCTTGACAAGCTCTTGTCCAAACGTAATCAACATCCTTTTTTAGCAAATCATATAGTGGTATCATACGCTGAGCAAAATTCGGAATAAATTTCGAATGATGATTAACCATGCCGATGAATGCTCGTAGTTCAGAAACGTTTGTGGGTTGCGGCGAATCAATGACACTTTTTGTCCTTTCTTGATTCTTACTAAGGCCATTTTTATCCACATCAAAACCTAAGTATGAGATTTTGCTCTGAAAGAATTTGCATTTACCGACGTTCAGTCGTAGACCAGCTTCTTGAAGTTTAGTCAGCACTTTCCGTAGCGTGCTCAAATGACCAGCAAAATTATTTCCTGTGACTACTATATCATCTTGAAAACAAAAAACATTGGCAAACTGAGAAAGAAGCGACTCCATTGTCTTTTGAAAAATTGAAGCGGCTATCTTCACGCCAAATGGAAGTCTTTTCATGCGAAACAATCCTTTATGTGTGCTGAGAGTGCACAACTTTTGCGCATCATCATCCAGAACAAGTTGATTGTAGGCGCCAGATAAATCGAGTTTGGTGAACAATTGTCCTCCTTGCATTGAAGCGAAGATTTCCTCAATACGCGGTAGTGGATACCGAAAGTCTTTAAGGAATCGATTTATCGTTGACTTATAATCGCCACATATTCTGATTTCACCATCAGATTTTGGAATGGGTACAATTGGCGTACCCCAATCTGAGTCATTTACAGGTGTGATGATGTCTTGTTCGACTAACTGTTGTAACTGTTGCTCAATTTTCTCACGAAATGCCATCGGTATGGGTCTGGCCTTACAAAAAATTGGCGTGGCATCATTGATTAATGGAAGCTTGATAACAGTTGTGTTGCATTTCCCTAAACCACTTTTGAAAATTTCAGAAAAATCACTTTTGATTTGCGAGATGATCTCATCGTATGAATCTACAAAATTTACAGAATTGTTCGATTGCACTAGATCAAATTCAAATTTTCTCAAGAAATCACGGCCTATTAACGTTGGTCTATAATAATTGGTCACAACAATTCTTCCACACTCGATCCGTCCATGCAAATTAACACAAGCTTTGAACTCACCCAAAATATTTAATTGGTCACCTCCGTAGCCCGTGAATGGTTCTGTGCATGGTCGCAATATGCTTCGATCGAACAGTGAATTGAAGACCTGGATAGACATGAGAGAGCACGGAGCACCGGTATCACAGTCACATGTGTGGTCAATCCCATTAATGCCAACCGTTAGCCTGTACGGCAAATCCGCTCCGTTCCCGATCGAATACACGTGTTTCTTGCTTTCATCGAAATCACCAACTTCTCCGTGGTTAATGCTGTATACGGAATTCAAAAAATTATTAGCATCACGATAATTGTAATCATTTTGAATATATTGAATGGAATTATTGTTTTTCTTAGCCTTGTTGGAGCAAATATTCGCTAAATGCCCAATAACCCCACATTTATGGCAAGCCTTGTCCTTGAAACGACATTGATTCGATGCATGATTTTTGCGTCCACAGTGTGTACACTTCCCGTTATTTGCCTTTGTCCCGTTGCTGTTGTTGTTGTTGTTGTTCTTCGGTGCCTTCTGCTTGTTGCCTCCACCACGTGGTTTCACATAGTCAACCTCATTGCTCCATGCGGTCACCCCATTTTGTTGGTTAAGTTTGGTTTCACGTAGCATAGCCTTTTTGAGTGCATCACTTGATGATAATTTGCCATCCTCTTCGCACAACTTCTCAAATATCCTTGGTGGCAATTCGCAAACAAATTTGTCTACTACGAAATTGTCCAAATTTGCGTCGAAGCTGCAGTCGATTGCAAGTTTTTTTACTCTGGCAAACCATGATGCAACAGTCTCACCTTGTGCCATTTTTGCTGCGTAGAAATTTTTTCTTTCTTGAAACACAATTTTCGGTGGCGTGTATTGTTGCTTCAGAAGGGCAATTAAATCATCGTACGATTTCTTTGCCGGTACCGTTGGACTGCACAAGCTGTGAACAACACCATATGCTTCCGAGCCGATTGATTTCAACAACGTGGAAATTTTCACCGTATCCGATTCGCAGCCAATCTCCAATAAATGCATTTCGAAGCGTTCGTGCCATAATGTCCAATTTTCGGTCACTTGAAACTCCGGCATTGACGATGCTTGCACGATTTGAGTTGTCGACTTAGCTACTGATTCTAGTCCCATTTCGCTCTTATTACTTTGATATTAAATACTTTGATAAAAAAAAAAATGTGCGTAAATTTTACTGCGCTATGAAAATTTAATTTGAAATTTTCCTAAGTTCTTTTTTCCTTTGTCGCCAATTATGTGGTGTATCGGTAATGAAAAGATGCGAGTGAATTGAATGCTATGACAAGAATGAATGCTCTTTATTGAATTACTTATAGCTAAACATGCGAATGTAGAAATGTCAAAGTGAACCATTTCAATGAGTCAATCGTTTCATACGTGCAACTATGAACTGTCAACTTTATTCATATTCAACA